AAGTAATTAAATTAAATTAATTATAAGTTAAAATATAAATTGATTAACTTTTAAGCTTCAAGAAGAATAATAAAAGGTAGCAAACTTAAAAAATGTATTTTTCACTTAATTGGCAACTCTAGCTGCAATTGCTGCCGCATTGGATTTGTCGTTGTCGTTGTTGTTGTTCCAATTTATTATCTCATCCACAAGTTTTTGCTCATTGCATTTTCATGCACCGCAATTTTCTCCTCCATTTTGCTTTTGTAGCGTTTTGAGCACACACACATCCACACGCAAGCTCACACTGTTAACTCGTGCACGCAATTATGGCACGCAGCGAGCAGCACAGCAACTGGAGCCATGCTTTGTTGCCAACTGCAACGCGGGGAATTCTTTTAATTTTGTTTTTATTTGCACTTTTGTTGTTGTTGCGATTCGTGTTGCCTTCTCAGCGCTGCGTGGCATTTGTGCATTTGTTGGCGATCGCATTACGCCACCGCGCACGCCGCCGCCCCTCCTCAAATGGCGCTCTGCAGAGGCGCAACAGCTGCGAACATCGCCTGCAGCTTATGCAACTATATTATGTTGTAACTTGTGTCTCATATTTTGCATTCGCCGGATTTTCAGCTCTCTGCGCGGCCATAAAGCGGTTATGTGCGCTTGTATTTGTGTACTCGTACAGAAATGTGTTTGTGTTGCTTTTGATTTTTATTTTTGTTTATTTAACATTTTTATGAGGCACGTGTTTGCAGTTGTTGCTGCTCCATTTGTCGCTCAATGTCAATGAAAAATAAAAACAAAACAAACAACCGCAAGTGTATTGATTTCAGCGAATTGCCGTTTTGCCACACTTATTTGTGGTCTTTTGTGGCATTGAAAACTTGTTGGTGCTTTTGGTTGGTGCGCGATAGTGCTCTTTCGACTATTATAGTATAATAAACCGTTATGGTATGAATTTCTCAACTTTCAATCGACATGGTCGTCTGGATGTAGTGAAACACAAAGCAAGCAGCTTCAGATGCCTCAGATGACTGCACTCGCCACTATCAAAGCCAGTACCTGCTGTCGTCTACTGAAAGCAGACTCGCCTCCTAGGAACATCAAGAGGTCCTTCCTTGACCACGTCGACGACATCAAACAATACTCCGATCAGGCTTCGAACCCCACTCATTTCCGGCACACACTGATCGCCATTCACACTGGAGCCATTAACTACATCAGCGACTCCCTCTCAAGGCGTGGCGTACTTGGAGTCCAAAAAGAACTATTTGCAGACAAAGAGCTCGAGTTGCCACGAGAACCTTTCTGTCGAAAACTCGTAATACGCCTCATCAGATGTTGTCATCGTTCATGCCTCTGCACCATATAGCAGAGAATTATGAGTGACTTATAGAGTTTGGTTTGTGTTCGTCGAGAGAGAACTTTACTTCTCAATTGTCTGCTCAGCCCGAAGTATCACCTATCAAGAGTTATCTTACGTTGGATTTCCAGGCTTGTTGATGGAGTTGACGCTGGTTCCAAGATAGACGAAATTATCTACGACTTCAAAGTTATGACTGTCAACAGTGACGTGAGAGCCAAGTCGCGAGTGCGACGACTGTTTGTTTAATGACAGGAGATATTTCGTCTTGCCCTCTTTCACAAGAAGACCCATAAGCTTTGCTTCCTTATCCTTATTTGGAGAAAGCAGAATTAGCGGCGTGGTTGTTGAGACCAATGATATCGATGACATCGACGTACTCTTTTGGTATCGAACAGGTCGGAAAGGTCATTCCCGATCATGATCTAGCTTTTGGTATTGCTCAATGTCAGTTTACACAGCTGTATTTCTTTTGCGGGGACACCAAATTCAGACATTGTGGCATAAAGCAAGCACCTTTTCGTGCTGTAAAACGCAGCTTTGAAATCGACGAAGAGGCGGTGTGTATGGACCCTCTTTTCACGGATCTACTACTCTCCAACTCTGCCTCATAGAAATTAAACACGTGTGTAAGAATCCGAATATGGTTTAGTACGAATATAATTAATGCCGAGCACATAGTGCAGTAAAGAGGCAGCTACTCTTTTTTCGCATGCAGAAATCAGGGGTGAGACGATTAACGATACGTTGATCGCTTTGTTGGGTACTCGTCACACTTTATAGTAGATACTACATATGTGAGGGATAACCTGGGAAAATATTCAAGAAACTGATATCGCATCGGTTGGTTCGTGATGTCCCGCAGTCAATCGCCTGGAGCTCTTATTTAAAAAAGTCAATTTTCTCTAATTCCACAATCAGCCAAGTGCCTAGTATGAAGTTTATTAACCTTTCTTACTTCTAGTAATAACTACTTTTATCTCTTTTTTCTTCCATAAGGTAGAAAATATCGAATCGATTCATCGAAAGCAAACGTTAGGTTAGGAAAGTTATCATGAAGAATAATCCTACTCGGCTTGTTAGAGACCAGTAGTTTTAGGTTTCGATCAAAACGAGCTTCGCCTATCGATAAAACGCCTAGAGTCTGCAAAAATTAACTTACACAAAGAAAACTTCAAATAATATAACTTTCTACTACTATTTCTTTATAATTAAACTTATTGTCTCTGTGAAATCAAAAAAAAATTCTATAATACTGGAAGTAGTACTATCGAGTTTTCCTTTCAAAGAGCTCATCTCAAATTCAACAGACAGCAGTGATTATTGATTTTTTGAGCATAAATTTCTAGTTGTCAATACATACGAATGTATTCCTGTTGTACATATCTGTATAACTACTCACTTCCTTATTTTTGTAGTGACAGATGTTATTGTTGTGCTTGTTATTTCCTGGTTATTGCATGCAATTGTGGCACAGCAGGAGTCGACTGAGTAAACACGGCAGTTGGAATTGTTGTGTTGAGGTTGAGAATACGCTTTGTACTGTTTGCAGTCCCCTGTGCATTAACTTCCGGGATTATTACACAACGATATATGTATGTTTGTAACTTTTAGTAATAGTTACATAACGGAGAAATGCATCTCAACTATAAAAAATGTATGTGCATAACTTTAATTGTGTACATTTCGTTGCTTTTGAGCAATGCGATTTGCTTTGTGTTCATAATGACGTAACTTCGGTTATCACACTATTCTCTCCTATCAAAACTCCCTGAAGGAGAAAGTTTCTGAAAGCATGTTTCGCTATGTAATGCCAAACTTATACGAGCTTTCCTGGCTATATGCATTTGTATCTGTAGAAATATGCTGAGAGAGCTTAAGTTGACTTTTATTTGTGCTGATAATATGAGCTCTTGTAACTGATACGATACTCGACATTGTATTGCAACATAAATAAAGCCTTAAGATTGGAAGCTTCAAAAAACTATACAATCCATTTCGAGGTTTCCCACTTTTTTGAAGAAAAATCCCAGATGTTTAAAATTTAATGAGAAATGTTAATTATCATTAGAAAGAACATTCTTTGACATTTATTTTTTGAAGATCATCATGTTGACGGCGTCTACGACTCAGATGGTATTTCGATGACTCAATCGAGCATTTCCACTAGCAATAAGCGAGTAACACGCCTGATGCCTTGCTGGCATCGGAGCGGGATTATCCGCATAGACATGAGACATTAGACTTTACATATCCCCACAGTAAAAAGTCTAACGGTGGGATATCACATGATCTTGATGGCCAATCGACCGTTCTAAAAAGTGTTATTATCTGCTCACCGAAGTGTTCTCTCAATAAATTCGTTGATTGATGCGATATGTGTGAAGTGACGCAATCTTGTTGACACCTAATGCCGCTGAGATCACGATCTTCAATTTCAGGCATCAAATAGTCAGTTATCATGGCGCGATAATGGTCGCCTTTGACGTTTACGTTCTCACTGGCATAATTTTTGAAGAAATATCAACCGATGATTTCACCGCCCCACAAACCACACAAAACCATTATTTTTTCAGTATGAAATCACAGCTCTTAAATCTCTTCAAGCTGTTGTTCGTTAAGCCAGAAATTGGCCTCATCGCTGAAGAAAATTTGTGTAGGATCTTCTTGGAACTTTTCAAAAGCCAACGAAAGCTTAGGAAGGTCGAGCGTCTCCAGTTGTTACACAAGCTGTATTTTGTACGCTTTCAATTTTAGATCTCGGTCGTTCCATTTGTCAATCCGAGTTACAGTTAGTACAGTTAGAAGTGTAAGTTACTAAAATATTTTGAAATTTAACAGTCGGAGCTGTTGTTGTTGCCGGTTTTCTCTAAATTTCCTAGTATAATATAAACAGCTTGCCCTTTGCCACGCAGCGTGTTAGAAGTTAATGGTGTAAACTGCGGAAAACATTTAAAACTGCTAACTAGTTTTCCACACACACATACACACGCAAGCATGAGTAGACATGCGCTGTTTGTTGTTGCAGTTAGCAATTGCTTACTGATTCTACAAGAAGAAGGTCATACAAAGAACAGTAAACAGCCGCTGAGAGCAGAGAAAGTGCCGGTGATTTTGGTGTGTGATAAAAGCAGCTTACATACTCACATATGGTTAACGGTCATAAAACGGTAAAGAG